AAGTGTAATATGTGTTTGAGTATAAAAATATAAAATTAGAGAAAGAGTTTTTACTAAAGTTTTTTCACTTGATAAATAGCATTTTGAAGTTTTTTAACGGGTGTAAAAATTTCTGAATTAGAAAAAACCATTTTCAATTTCTGTTTTTTTTTTAAATATTTAAAGGCACCAAAAAATCTTTTTTTTTTTTTTTTTTTTTCTCTTTATGGATTATTAATGAGCTTTTTAAACTCATATGATGACAGTACTCGAAAATTTATTTTGATATTAGAGCGCAGTCAAGTGCAAATCAGGTCACAGGGTCCAGAGGAGATGTGTTTGTCCTTAGAACATCATAACCCGTCGAAAACCTCTGAAAAAATGGTTTATTTTGATCGCGTTACAGTTTCCTTACACATTCTATAGACCGCAAACCAAGAGACTAAGGGCTCGCAAGATCGGCTTACAGTACTTCGTGCCTCGGTCGCCCTTCGGAGGACGTGCCGTGCGCCAGCGAGGATATGGCTTGCGGTTATTGATTTTCAAAATGGCGAACAACAAAGTCGATCTGGGTCAAATAATAAGCGAAGAAATCGTTTACAGTAGATTCATAAATATCCCATTGGGCTAATTAATCGTGCTAAGCGACAGGTATAGACATTTTTCAAGGTGAGACTTTAAATAAGTAATTCATTTATTCATACGAAACTCCTCTGGACCCTGTGATCAGGTCAGTACTCTTGACTAAATTTGGCGTAGCCTCCACTGCTATAGAAATTGGAAACCTATCGATGGGAGAAAATTTAATTATGGTGTCAGCAGAGTCCGTCCACACAGACTCTGGAGGAAGGAAAGGGGAGATTTTGTAAGGGAGGGAAAGTTAGTCACAGTATAGATGTACATCCTGCGTTTTTGTTGGCGTAAAGGTGACTAGTTTAGAGACAGCCATTGGAGTTACTACAGTAGAAGTTCCAATAAAGCTTTCCTTTTAGCTTGGTCACGCTTTTGGGTACGCTCCAAAATTTTGACAGATGACTGAATTCATACGTGAAAAAAAACTTATGCAGCGCCTTGAAATTTGTTTACCGACAACGGAAGCTGTGCGTAATGTCGTGTTCTTCCCAGTGCCGCCAAAAAAATGATTAAAGATTTTTCTGTTACTCAAATCAGTTTATTTGATTTGTTGTTGAGGAAGGCGTCCCTTAAAGTAAACTCTATTCATCGATGGCTGCCTAATGTGTTAAATTTCAGTTACTGCCTTTAGAGCAGTTGTGTCTGAATTTCTTATAGATTTTAATTCTATTTGACTTAGGTTTTTAAGATGGGCCTATTTATTTCGTCGGTTACGCTCTAAAATGCATGTTTTGCAATTTTAAAAAAATGACCGGTGTTAACTGAAAACTCACAAATGGCCAAAATTTTAACTGACAACTGACAAATAGCCTAAAACTCAACTGACAATAGACATTTACCTTGGGTGTTACTGACAACTGACAAAGGGCCTGATTGTCCCTTATTTTCTACAAAACCCGTTTTTAAGGCCAAAAATATAGGATTCTAACACTCTTTTCGTCAGACACAGTCAAGTATACGTTTTTATAGGTAATCTTAGCAGCAAAGTGTGATATTCCGTTAATGATTTACTGTAAAACCCATGTGTGTCATGTACCATTCGTTAATTTTTGTAAATGACCTATGATCTCAAATTTACGCTTCTCTGGGAACGTGCCAGCATACGATGGCTGCTAATGAGGGCGTTACTAATTAAAGCAATTGCAAGTATTTACCGAGATGATTCAGATACGGTTTTTCTTGGTCTTTCTTACGATCAACGTCCCAGTAATGCCTGCTTGCCAACTTTTGCTGGGTCAAATGTGCCAAAAAATTTTCACCTTGTCATAACCGAGATTTCCGGAAACGTGCCGGCGACTTCCGAAGATTTTAGACGAAATTCCAAAGAATATATATGTACGTTTCCAAAAATTAAATGTCCGGAGATGTTCCCAAGAGGTTTGAACACTATCCGAAGCTGCTTAAAAGACGGCGATTTTAGCGTGCTTCCGATTTCCGAAAATCGGTCAGATTTTTTTTTTTTTTAAACTTTCCAATTTGAAATCTGGCCAATATTCTGTCTGAATGACTCAGAAAACCAGGAAAGGAAACTTTGGTGAAATAAAATCCAAAGAATTTCCCAAGGGGGAACATTCCCTGGACCCCCCTAGAAGCTTGCGCCTTCGGCGCTCGTTTAGGAAATCGGTCAGTATTTATCCTAGATCCGCGCCTGTCCTCTGCAGCCATTTGACTTGATCCACCGAGGAAAGGTGGTAAGTTTAGCGATAGCCCCTATGGAAGCAAATGTCCAATTGTAAATACTTTGTTTGCCATAACAGAGTCCTTGTCCTGGAAAGGCAGGTCCAAAAATTTACTTCTCCTGACAGTTTCCCCAATCAGATATAGATCCCGTGTACAGCTGGCTGACAAATGTTATTGCCCCTCCAGGTGAAATGTCAACTAGGTACATAAAAATGATCCACGTTATTAAGATTTTGCTCACTGTGGAAGTTGACAAGTGATCTGCATGAGACCTCAGCCTTAGTCTATACATGACTATTAAAAATCGTCCCCCAAGATTTAAAGGTCTAGTTCTCCCTGTTTTAGCTAGTGGCTCCTCCGTTTCAACGGTACTGAGATCAGCTGAGATGTCTGCATCTAACGAACGCCAGTAGGAGATGTTCTGTTCCCTATCTCCAGGATCAAGATATTTGTAAACAGCCATGAATGTGTCCCAGTTGGAAAAACCAGAATACAAAGCAGCAGCAGTTTCCTTCGATTTCAAGTTTTCAAGTGTGAACAATCTCTTAATAAGTGCGTCATTTTCCCATTGGATTTCTTCTCATTTACGCGTTAGTTCTTTAATTTCCTGTTCCATTTCTTGAATCCTTTCCGACATGTAAAGCTCGTGGTCTGTGAATACGTTTTGTGTCATGACATCTTTAGTTTATGGGCCAACATTTGATTCAATATCTGACATACTAGTACTTACTGGCATTTCGCTCGCTACTTCGTCTATAATCACATCTGAACATTCCAATTTTCGGCAAGTCAAGCTGCTTGAAACTGCAGTATCTATAAGTTCCGTACAGTCGGCTCCTTTCTCTTAATTACGTGGCGAGGTTCGAACCCAAGGAAATACTCACGAGCTTTCAAGTTATTTTTGCCAGCTGGTGTTTTTACTACATCACCCTGTGTCTGAAATCAAGAGAGCAATGCCTTTGTATGCTGGGACACATTGGAGTGTTTTCCCTCATCTCTTCTTTATTTCTTTATTTATATGTTATAATTCACAAAGGTTTCCCATCACTGTGGATGTGCAAAAACAAACAAACAAAAAACAAATAAATTGATAAAAATAATAATAATCATAAATAGACAGTAAAATGAAATGATGCATATAATTAGTGAGAGCAGATTTAAATGCCTCCACGGAAGTCTGATCTAATAAAAAAGGCGGTAAACTGTTCCATTCTTTCAGAGTTCTAGAAAAAAAAATGTACTTATAGGTATTGCTGCTACTACCAATGTTTATAAACTTGCTGCTGTGGTAAGAGGGTGTGAACACGGGTTGGGTGTTCAATGTATTCCGGAATATTGACCCTGATTTTATTGTTCACTATTTTGTACATGGTGGTGAGTCGTGCAATTTTGCGCCTCAGTTCTCGTGAGGTCTAGTTCAAATCCTTCAAGAGATTAGTGAGTGTACCGGATTCTCGCTCGTAGCAGTTCTTTTACAAATGTGGCGGCTCGCCGCTGTACTCCTGCAATATCGTGGCAATGTTTTTGAGTATGTGGGTCCCACACGCTGCAGGCGTATTCCAGACAAGCACGAACGAGGGTAAGGGTAAGGTATCGCGTGAAGCCACTTCTTCTTCATTTTAAAATTATCGATGGGAAATTTAAAGAACGACCTTTTTCGTTCTATCCTTATTTCGGAAGCCTTTCTTTGGACATCCAGGAACACAACAGTGTGTTGGCATATTTGTCTCGAAACAATTGGCAGTAATTGACCTAAATTGAGGTGATATTACCTAGCTTCACACGAGAAGTTAAGTTGGTTTCAAGAAAGCACTTTATTCAAATGCATTTAAAAATCGTGGGTCGCTCCGTAAAAACATCGCTTCGCACTTGTTGGCAAAGTATATTACTCAAAGTAAAAGCTGGCAATCATCTTTCGAAGTATATGCATATATCACAAACGTGAGGGCTCGCGACAAAAGCTAAAACTAAACAAAGCAATAGACAGCTGAATAGAAACCTTTTGACCCTGTTTTGGTTTGGATTAATCGAGCGCATCGAGTATAGTAGCGTCGAGGCCTTACTGACCTCGTTTTCGTGCAAACGTTGTTACCAGTCCGGCACTCTGTTCGCCATTATGAAAGTCGTGTAGGACGTGCCGTTTTACACTGCATGGACCACATAACATTTATAGAGACTGATTTACGGATGTGGCCAAATGAAGAGTGGGAAAGGATTTAGCCTCCTACGCAGACGTTCTTAGGGGTTCGTCACACGTTCCTGCCCCACTAACGTCTGCTGATTTGAGCTGAAAAAAACGTCGATCAATCACAGCATACTTCCAGATCTGGACCTTAAGAAATTTCACGCTTGACTTAGCTCGATCCAGAAAAGATCAGAAAGGTCTCATGAAAGGTGAAGACCTTACAGGTTTAGAACAAACTACTCAGACAGTTAACTCACAAGCGTTCGTACTAGAGGCTACCCTCACAATCTCATTGAAAAAAATTACCTCAGAGGTTGAATTTGCTGAACGGAAGTCGGATTTACTACAAAACAATAAGGTGTGAAAAAAATTATGCCTTTTGTTCAGTTACAAGGTAACTCTGTCGTTGCATCACCCAAAGAACAACTTTATGAGCAAATGACATCTAATCCAGCCTTTACAGAGAGAAATATACAAAAAGCCAAAGGTTATCTCCTAGATTCTCGTCCGGAGCAAAAATCTTTGGTCACATATCACACTCTACATAGCTTGTACGTATATGTGTTTGGCTTGTCAACACTTTGATTTCAACAGCGCCGATTGGATCTCCGATAATCTGCTTGTGATCTCCAGCTGATATTTGCGGACAATGGGAAAGGAATTTATCTTTCGTTTTAGCAGACGTTAGGAACGTGTGACGAACTTCTAATGTGAGAACGTCTACGTGGGAGGCTAGAACGGATGTCATTAAATGGGCAAATACAAAATAAGATCTACCAAAGGGAGGTTTTTGAGCCCGCGAGACTGAGCAACCCAAACAAACCCTTGGTTTTACCAAAACCGCTGGACACAAAACCTCCCCTGGTTCGATTACATTGTCACAAAACCGAGTTCCGGCAAACGATTGCTTTCGCAGTTCTCGTGACTCCAAGGATAGTTGTCACATGATCAATTCACACAGCTGTTTCATTAACAGTACGACATTTAGGCCATGTTCACTCTACCGAGCATTGTGTCTTTCAAAGCCTTAAATTAAAGGTTTGCTTTAAGAAGCATGTCTTTTAGCGACTTTCCTTTTCTATTAGAGAACAATAGTGAAGCTCCTTGAATATTTCTCTAAGTCACGGCTTGTTCTGTATTAGATGCCATTTGCCCATATGCTTTTCAAGTTTGGAAATGACGGTTGAAACTGCGTGACAAAGGGTGGAATCTTTTCCTGGTTCTCAATTTTTGCTTGAGAGCTTCCTTCCTTTCATGTTTAACTTCTTTGGAAGAGTTTGTTCTAAGAAGCCTGAGACCTTCTCCTTTGACAAAACCTTTTTTCAAAGCCCGCTGGGAGAATGTAGTTTCTATTTCTGATACTTCAGTAGCAAACTTGATAACAGGGTGATTAGCTTTGGCTTTCTCAATAAAAAGTTCTAGATATTCCTTGTACATGAAAACAACCAGAAGATACTTTGTTAATGCTTTATTTCAATCAACAGTAACACCGACCCAATTTGACAACTACATTTAATTTCTTTACATCCCTTTTGCTCTTAACGGGACACGTCAGCTTTCCAATACCGTTGGGCTTTCAATCTTAAGTAAAGGCCTAGGACGTCTAATTTTAGCTACTTGTCCGGGGCAAGCATAACCCCACCAGTATTTTGCAAATCTTTTTCTGCGTGAAAAAGAAAATAAACTGAGTGAGTTTTTAATACCTCGCGGGGTACGATACTTAAAAGATTTGTTGATTTCCTTTTCTTATCACGTGCCATGATTTTCATTGACTGAAGTTTCCTCTCTTTATCATTTGACACCAATCATCATTGAAAAAACTATGGCAACTTTCTTTACAAAAGGGTAATCACTACCGCTGCTGAAAAACGCCAGAAGAGCTCGACGGCAAACCATGAATACATGTATCTAAGGGGGTGTTTACATGACACCGGGGCGACTTTCGCCTCGCAGCGAGTTCTCTCCGGTTCCCTCTCATGGCTCTAATTTGGTTACATGATACCACCACAAATGTCATGCCGGCGCAAGTCCCTCCTGCGTGAGTTCACCCCCGTTCTTGTACCGGGGTGAGAATTTCACTCCGTTACGAAATCTCGCAACTGTATCATGTAAATGCGAAACGACCACCCGTTTCGGTGTGAAATCGGTCTGCCAGTAGACTGGAACGGGTAGCGCATGCTTAATGTTTGCGATTTTGAATCACACGTGCATTTTATCAACATGTGTAAGTGTAAGTGTACCTTCAAATAATGAGATATGAAATGACCCCCCCAGTCAGCATGTAAACGCGATACGAAATCAAAAAGTCATCCCGGTATGAAACTCGCGCCGGTGTGAGTTTTCTCATGTAAACACCCCCTAATACCGTAAAATTCCAAAAATAAGCCCCTCCAAATATAATCCCTCCAAACCGGTAGCGCAAAAAACTCTCCTTTAAATCGCCCCTCCAAATATAAGCCCCCCGAGGACCTGTGCTTGCAAAATTGCCCTCAAGTACAAAGTCAAACAAAGCAAAAACGGTAAATTTCCTTCCAACTATAAGGCTAGCCCAATCGACTTTGAAACGCAAATTTCCCTCCATAGATAAACCCCTCCGAATATAAGCCCCTTCAAAAATAAGACCCTCAAAAAGGGTCTTTCAAAAATATAAGCCCCGGGGCTTATTTTCGGAATTTTACGGTATTCGTATAAAAACAATTGCATGTAAGTTAACTACACCAAACTAAATACTTTTGCTGTAAAACTACGTCTCGACATCCAAGTTCAAGGGTACAAAATGAAGACAAGAAAGATGTTACCTTGATGGGATTGTGGGGCGGCCTATTGCATTGCCATGTGATATGTTTGCACTTTTTTTTAAGAGAAAACAATAAAACTATGTGAGTTTTACAATTATAATTATAGCTTAATGGTACGTTACTGTTCATATTAAAACACCGTTTGCTAGGATTTTATTAAACCCTGATGCCATCATTTTTCGTTTGCTGCTAATCATCAGAAACAAGCGACAGGTCCATTTTTGACAGAACGATTATCGCGCTAAGACATTAACCAAATAAGATACGCAATTTCCTGGTTGAGCGAGCGCAATTCTCTCGACGCACTCCCGAGGACTCCACACAGAGAACTGTAAATTGTAAATTGTAAATATCTTATTATCCACTCCCCTCAGGGCTTTTCAGAGATAATTTACAACACTTGTTGGGGGAACTTGCCAGACTACTTAGAACCTATTTTATAAGGACGTTGAAAGGAACCTTAAACAAATTAAGCTAATTCTCCACATCCCAGTAGCCTGTTTAAAAATGGAGACAAGTGAGAATATCTCACCAGTCATCTTGGAAGACGAACACTTGGACGGGGACGTTCATCAGCAAGCTCGGCAATGGTTTCACCCACCCCTGCATCTATGTATTCCTGCTCTGAATTATCCTCAAATGGATTCTCAGCCAAAGTAAAGACTACCGCTCCGAGATAAAGGAGCAGAATTAGAGATTTCATTTCGAAAACAATGTTCACTGCTAAAATATCTATTTGCAATGTGACCAGCATAGCTTTTCGCGCCCTTATTATTGACTCGTGACGCTGATGAATGTGAGGCATATGACAAAAGCGAGGGCAAACACATATTTGCTGATTTCTGTTTACTTTTTGTCAGGCGTGAAGTTAATAAATATCTTACTGACTCTTATATCAACAGCTCTTGTATCACCTTTTCCCTTTTGTGAGCAGCTGAGTATTTTTTTCGCCAAACTCCTTTTGTTCAAACTTATACTCTTTTTGTGCCTACGCAGGAGGATTAATATTTTACTTTGCGTTTGAGACGTAAGGAAAATATTTACTACAGGTGCATTTCCGCACGTAGTCAATCAAAGCCTGTGTCCACTTTTTGAACGAAAGGGGGAGGGGGATGGATGGATGGATTGCGGTCAAGGTCAACTTTCTAGAATTTGGAAAGTATAATCACTGCACGAAAAAATGGATTTACAACAACTGCAAAATCAATGCAAATATGAAGTAAATACCACATTTGATCAAATTTGTTTATATTTGCCCCGAGGCAAATTCCATCGTTGGATAATATTTGCACGCGAAGCAAAGATGGTAAATACCGCATTTACTCAATCTTTACAGTCCAAAGCAAATGAGAAGAAAAACTGCACATTTGCATCAGATTTAACATGAACTAAAAATGTGGTAAATAGATAAATCTGCTGCACCGAAACATGAATTTACAATTGTAGCAAACATTCCGCTGCACGTCGTTTTGATTACATTTACC